TGTGAAGTTAGCTATCATATATCAGGCTATAACTAAAGTAGTATTGATAATATAGTAACGTTACTGGCAGGACTGTTGATACTGATCCATAACATAAACTAATGCGCAAGTATCAGCCGTATCTCGCGTTACCTAATGCAACTCCACACTACGGTGCTGTGAGATACGGCTGATACTTGACGATCTGGCGGAGAAAGGCTGTGGAGCCTCCGTTGATATGCCGTTGTAAATGGCTTGATGGAAAGCAGGTGTGTAGTCGGGGAGGGTGCACAGCTGATTGCAGCAGGTGAGTGGAGGTTGAGCCAGGAGCCAGGAGCCAGGAGTGACAGCCACCACGCACACACAAACAACACAGACAGGGGGAAACAAACAAACACAAAGGAGACGGCTGGAGCAGTACAGCCACCACAGCGTTACCTAATGCAACTCCACACTATGTCTTACGGTGCCGTGTACCGGAGGGGAGGGAGAGAGAGAGAGAGCAGCGCAGATAAAGCTGTGGAGAGTATGTGCTGCAGGGAGCTGGATGCACAACGCACCCAGGAACGAAAGCTAGCTCCGGTCCTTTTCCCGTGAGGGAAACTGTGTACTCAATGTCCTGACAGGCTGGTATTTGTGCAACCTGCACAAACACAATACTGCACCATGATTACAAATGGTGAAATACAATGTAAAACTACAGAAAAATACCAGCTCACGAAAACACAACCGCTCAACGCAACTACTAACTATACCCGAGAGCGGAGATGTTTACCCTGTTTGACGTATGACCTTAAAAAAAAGCCGTTTTTAAGAGCAGAGCTCAAAATTGCTCCTTTCCCTCTGAATTCCTGCCCTTATGTCTCGTAAAACATATCAAATCCTACATTCACTTTTTTAATGGTAATTTTCAAGCAAGTTTAAGCATAAATGTAGAAAAAAAACAACCTGCAAGATGCTCTTTAACTTTTATATTGACCTATTTAAGTTAAGCAAAGTTCTGCAATTCTTAGTATTTCTTTTTAATTACTTTTGAGGTAAAACATTTTGGACTCTTTAGTGGGCCAGTAGTCCTCCTTGGAACCTTTCACCAGCACTTTGTTTAAAACATCTCCAAATAGGGGCTTAGATAGTTAATGTGTTAGGTAGACACGTTTGGACCTGACAGCTGATCCGTTTAGCAGCACTGTCACTGTATCCTCCATTTCTTTCTTTGCAACAACTGGCATCTGTCATCTTTTATATTTCCCACTCACTATCTGTTCTCTCCAAAACCCATAACCCCCTAATCCCCCTCTGTCAACTATAGACCATGCTGGTCCAGATGTGGTATCCCATCACAGTAGCCACCATCTCCAGGGAGTTTAAGAAGATCCTGGCCAAGCACCTGAAGGCCACCTCTGGGAGCCTGGAGGGTCTGGACCTGAAACTGCATGACTTTGGCTACAGAGGAGTCTCCTCACAGGAGGTCAGCAACACTCTCTCCCCCTGGTTTCCTTTAGTGATACGCTAACAGAGTTTCTCATTGTATTCCTGTCTCTTGCACCATGCTCCTTCTAATGTTGTACTGTATGTACAGGTACTAGGTTTACACTAAGATAATTTCCTTATAATCACTGTCACTGTTACTGAGGATACGAGAACCCCTCGAATTCCTTTCATAATGTTCCTTGTACCTGGTTTGTATTTCCACAGAGAATGTACCAAATGATCATCTTGTGATATTACTTTGTTTATGGCTGTGTTATGCTGACGATATAGAATTATTGTTGTTGGGCTTAGTGGACCCATTACTGATTAAAGGCACAAAGGTTAGATTAAGAGAACTCAAATGAAAGTCAGAAGGAAAGTGTTGGATAATATGCTTGAACCTGGAATGTAAAGTTGGTTATTAATCTCTTGAACAGCGTTTAAGAGGATTTTCAAATAAAATTCTTATAGGACCTGCTTTCAACTGAAAGTTTGACGTGACATTTTTTTAAAACCAGGCAGCAGTTGTTGAACAACATGGAGGCAGAGGAGTGTCAAAGCAGTGTTTATAATACAGTTATTGCTGAGTGCAAAAAATAACACTTTGACAATCATTCCTCAAGCTGAACTGAGTGTACTCTCTAACAACTAATCCACAGAAACAAACTGGATATCATTTTCCTGTTTCTGATTGATGGTTGCTGAATTATGAACCTTTTTAAAGGGTGACTTGTTTTGAATGAAATGGAAGAAAACCATTTGAGCAGTAAAGTGATTCCTTACCTCCTACTCCTCTCTCCAGTCTGCAGCGTTGGGTGGAGCGGCCCACCTGGTTAATTTCTGCAGTACAGACACCGTGGCTGGGCTGCTGATGGCTCAGCGCTACTACAGCTGCCCGATGGCCGGCTTCTCCATTCCAGCAGCAGAGCACAGGTATAACCCACAGACACAGTATGTATGACAGTATGTGAACCCTTTGGAACGTGCTGATTTTATTCATGAATTTGTCATAAAATGTGATCTGATCTTCATTCAAGTCACAATTACAGACAAACACAATGTGCTTAAGTTAATAACACACACACATTAATAATCTTTCATGTCTTTATTGAACACACCCATTAAACGTCAGCAGCGCTGGTAGAAAAGGTAAGTGAAGCTTCTTACTTAGGTGAAGATCAGACCTTTAAAAAAAAAAAAAAAAATCTATACATAAATGAAGGTTATTCCAAAGGATTGACTTACTTTTTCTTGCCACCATACAAGTACATCTTGCACTCCAAAGTGTACATCATAATGAATCCAAAAAATATCCTTCATGAACTGTTTAATATTGTATTAGTCGTTGACTGTATGTGAGGAAACACCGTTTATGACATTGACATCAAATTGAAGAACTAGTCTAGCATGAGTATTTCCAGCCCCACTGACCGTGTTCATTACTTCCTGTAATGCAGTACCATCATCTCCTGGGGGAGGAGCAGAGAGAAGGAGGCGTTTGAGCGAGTCCTGGACCAGTTCTCCTCAGGGCCGGTGTCTGTAGTCAGTGACAGCTACGACATCTTTCACGCCTGTAAACACATCTGGGGGGACGAGCTGAAGGAGCGCGTGATGGAGCGCAGCCAGGACTCCTGCCTGGTCATCAGGCCGGACTCTGGAGACCCCGCAGAGACCCTCATCGAGGTGAAACACACACTGAAGTTGTCATTCTAATTTGAGCTCTAAACCTAAAGTAGAAAGACTGAAGTTTATTATGAGAGGTCTGAGAGGAATCTCAAAAGACTTCTGTCTTCTTCATACTCGGAGCATAATACTCCCAACTTTACTTTCCAAAAGATCCACCTTTTGCCGTCTTTCCTTTTAAATAAAAAAAAGATAATAATAATTCTGAGACTTTATACGCACTAAATAATGGGTGAATATTGCACCTGCAAAAGAAAAAGGGACACCAGAATAATGTAGGACTAGTTTGGTTTTACAGCCCCTCAGTTTGCAATCTTCTTACACACTTTTTTATAATTATTTTCACCCTAAGGGCTATATATGAGGCCAAATCCTAAAGCAACTGCTGCAACGGCTCGGGTGTTTTGGTGGCACTGCTGCCGACTCTTTGCAGTGGGGAGCCGCAGTGAGGTCCAGTGGGGGGGGCTGCAGTATACAGCTCACGGTCGGAGCAGAGAGACCCGGTTGCAGACATCTGCTATTCAAAAATAAAGTCAACGCATATTAGGGCTGTACCCGAATATCCGGTCGTTGGCCTACTATTCGGTTTTCAATTTCGTTATTCGGATATTCTTTTTTTTCAAAATTCAAATTGAATTTATTGAAATCTCCAATATCAACGTAAGAGCTTGTGCCTCTTCGGGGGGTGCTAAAATTTAACCATAAACTTTATCCTTTACTTTCTCTGTCTTTATATGTAGATATGACTTTGCTCCGTTAATCTCCGCACCTTTTCTCCTTCACGTTGTTTCCATAGCAACAACAACTTCCTGTCAAAAGCGCTAACTCGTCTTCAAAATAAAAGCATGTCCATACAAAATAGGAAGCCAAGCCAAATTACACTTAAGACACATATACAACTGCACAAAAGTAACAAACAAAATATTTTCAATTTCAAAGAACATAAATTGGGTTATTTACAATAACAAATAAATATAAAACAACAATACTGTAGAATAACAAAATGAATGCCTTGAATAAACCGATATGCAAGCCTTGAAGCACACGCCGAATATTCGCTGAGCCGCTGACAGCCCGTGCACAATATAACCCCTGATCCCTTGTACTCGATTAAGTGTTTATTAATCGTTGTTGTAAGATGTTTACTGTGTCCACTTGGATAACAACGTGTGTGAAACTAACTCCAAAATAAAGCCATTGAAATGCCACTTTCAGGTCATCAAGATTCTTGAGGAGCGTTTTGGCTGTTCTCTGAACTCTGTGGGATTCAAGGTTCTGCCTTCCTACCTGCGGATCATTCAGGGAGACGGTATCGACCTCGTCTCAGTGGAAGAGGTGAGAAAACGTTTGGGTGTCATGGTCTGGGTTCATCTTGACTTTTCTTTCAAATCTTATTTAGTGTATATTCTCCTTATATTCCCTCCTTTTGTAGATTGGGTCGTACCTTTTTGATCACTAACTCAGCTTTTTGTAAAAAAAAACAGTCCCAGTTAAATCTTTCGCTTTTCACTGTTTTTTTTAGATAAAAAAAACTGATACATTGGAATCATCTACAGTCAAACTGACACTCTTCAAATTAGTTTTGGGGAGAAATGGCAGTGCTGACTATTATCCTGTTGGTCATGATTACATTGTACAAGGTACTCAAATGGTTCATTGTTGGGATTGGGCAGTTCCAAACACTGGTAGCCCAGCCCAGAGGATGGAAGATGATTTAGTTTTCAGGTTGTTCTAACCCGTCTGCTCTCTTACTATGAAACTGTGACTCAGGTCATCACTGTATCCAAAACCTCAGCACAAACACTGATAGGCAAAACTCAGACAAATAATGGCACAAACTCTGAACAAGGTTATTTTTCCTCCTTTCTTTTTGTTTGTATTAAAATTGTATGATTTTCTTTACAACAGAGCATATCTCTGTTGAAACCCACTTTAAATATATTCAAGTTTTTTTGTCATAGTCCAATCAGTTATTGAAAAAAAGGATTGTATATCTTAAATGGCCAACCCTATCCTTTTAAAAGACACATTGTTGCAGTTATCTTGACTGCAAAACAGTTAAAGTTCCACTGTCCTTCTCCAAATATTTATATAAAAAGTGAAGTAACGATTTTATTTTGTTTCCTGTAGATTCTCACGAAGCTGAGTGATGAAGGCTGGAGTGCTGAGAACGTCTTCTTTGGTTGTGGCAGTTCCCTGCTCCAGAAACTCAACAGAGACACACTCAGCTGTGCCTTCAAGTGCAGCTATGTGGAGACTGAC